GGATAATGCGGAGTTTAAGCCGAAATCTCTCACAGAATAACGGGAATGGACTGCGTGTTGTTTTCCGTACAGCCGGCCGGGACCCTGCGTGTGCCTTCACCCTTCAGACCCTGCTCTCACGCTGTTCTTTTACACGCATCCAGTTTCCACTCTCACGTACTTGATTCCTCATTCTTGAACACGGCATTGACAATTGACTTGGGTTTTGTTATATTTTTGTTGATACTTAACATGTCTAAGAAGAAACACCGTAGAAACAGGTTTCAAAACGTCAGTATTTCAGTCAGGTTATGCAGCGCCTTTGCAGAGTCGATGAGCTTTTTCCTTTTGTAAAAACAATCAGTAGATTAAATAATTGGTTTAAAAACTGTATGTGAATAATACTGTAAACAGAACAAAAGCCAGGTTCTAATGGTTGTCAAACTAAAGAAATAACATTCCCAGATACAGGTTTTCATGCAGGAACAGGCTGAGCTGGTATGACACTTGCTGCCTTCGGCAGCAGGTATAGATCGTAAGTAAACAGGGCTCACAAAGCTTCCTCAAATCGTGTGCTCTGTTCCCCTGCTCTAAGCCAGGATCAGCCTCATTATCTTTGCCACTGGTTTGTCAAAACTGTTTTTAAAACTCTCCGATGAAGGAGGGACCATAATATCGATACTGCAGTCACTCGTATCCTGCAGATGTAAAACATTATCTCTCAGAGCCTATTACAGTTTTCTTCCGTTTAAGTATTAACCTGTAGAGTTCTTAAAGATAATGAAACTTGAGCTGTTCTTAAGCCATCTTTTTTTCCCCTGCTATTTTAAGATAATCTTCTCGTGCCCCCCTTCCAAACATCTTGCAGAAATAGGTTTATTAATTTAGGATGCTGCTGTTTCTTGTACGTAGAGGAAAACACTGTGTGTTTGTGCACACACACACAGGAGCGTAGAAGTAAGCTAACTTCACAGGGGTGAGTTTATATGTATCGAATGTTTCAGACAGCAATTACAAATCTCGTGAAACACTTCAGGTTCTTCTTTGGGAGTACAGTGGTCTGGGAGTTTGTGAGCACAATTTCATTTGGTTTTTTGTTTTAGTTTAAAAAGAAATTGCGCGTTCCTGTTGATTTCCAATTCCTTTGCTGAATGGAATGCAAAAGAAGAAATCCCAAGAAAATAAAAGGCTTCTCAGGGAATGCCTTGAGTCTTTAACACAGACTTTGCAGTGGATTCTTCTTCAGTGAAGCACAAATGCAGATGTGATTAATTTCCAGATATATATTGCTGATCCCATGAGATGACTATGTTAATTGTGTGGTTATTTCTGGATAGACTGTGCCACAGTAACCTGGTCTGTAACAAAAAAATGCATAGGTAGGGTTGTGTCTGCATAGTTACAGCTGGAAATGTCACATCCATCTGAGTTCTGAAGGATTCAAAAGCATCAAATTGGTTTATTCTTACGGCAGATATCCTTATGATAAAGGAAAACTGTTGTAAAGATAGTGTACCCGTAAACGGTGTTTTCAGTTTAGCTGCCACTGGAGGCAAGCAAATCCAAAACTTAGGTCCACAGAAGCCTGCTCTTTTGCTGCCCAAACCCTGGACGTGCTTTTTGGGATTCTCTAGATGACAGTTTTAGCAGTGGAGGAAAAGATACCCCAACAACCCTTCTGGTTCTCCTCTAGAAGAACAACCTTTTTTTTTTTTTTTTTTTTTTGCCATTGTGGCCTTGAACGCCATGACACAAAAATCTTGATGCTTACTTAGTAAAAGTTAATTGTCAAAGTTAATCATTAATGCTGGGTTCAATCAGGAGGGAATAACTGTATCTGTTAGTCTGAGAGCAGAGGGCTCTATCCTCACTCCAGCTGACTAGTTTACATTGTACCAAGGAGCTGTTTTGTACAGTATCCTTACAAGAAACTGGGCTCAGAGGTGTGAAGTGCCTTATTTTTAACTGAGTTAACCTGGAATGGAAGTAAAATTAGGCCTTTAAAAACGTTCATGGGTGTTACTGTGGTTAAATGTTGCATTGTGGCAATTTAAAGTTGTTACAAAACCCAGAAGGCAATATTTCAGAACTGTGTGTAAAACTCCCTCCCCAAGCTCCTTTTTGCCATTGACGTCTCATTGACATACCTTTAGCTGGGGCATTGATACGCCGCTGCCCCTGGTTTCTTGATTAATTCAGACTGACTTTTTCCGAAATTCTTTGCAGCTGAAGGACCTGTATTTTGTTCTGGCCATGATTTAAAGGAACTGTCAAATGAAGATGATGTCAAGCATCATTCCCAAGTATTTGAAATATGTGCAGAGGTAAGCAGTTCTTCTTAAGTGCCACCCTTCTGCCTGGTATTAAGAGCAAGCAATGATACTGATTTAAGGAGAGACAGCATTGCTCATCTACTAGCTAAAGCACAGACCATTGCTCCAGATGGCTTGCTTTTTGCTGCTCTGCCATTTTAATACCTGATCCTGGTGAAATTATGTTTTACTTGGATTTCTCTACATGCAAATAAAAGGGGTAGAATGCCAACGTGCAGTCATCTACAATGGGTACAGTCGTGGCATGTTCCTTAGTTTAGCCAGTGTTCCTTGTAGCTGAGTATTTGGGCAGTGTCTTTCCTAGAAATCTAGGGATAACCACCATCAACTCACTTGTCCTTTTTTTTGGTCAATAGAGAGAGACAGGTACTTCGGGAGGCTTCCAAACCAGGATCGTGTCTTCCTAAATTTCAGTACTTAATTTAAATAGAATGGATCCTACCCTAAATGACATGCCTACAGCATTGTGGACTAGGGGGTCCAGAGCATCAGGCTTGTTTTCAGGTACCTTGGCTTCTACATCTGGTAATCTTAGGCAGATCATCTCAGCTGCTGTACCTCTGTTTCGCCATGCATATAACAATGTTAGCAATACTATGTAATGCAGTATCTGGGAACTAAGTACTCTCCACGTACAAGTTTGAGACAGCTGAGAATATCACTTCTCCAGAGACTTTTCAAATACAAAACTGTAAGTACCAGGGGTTTTTTTTCAGAGAAGCAGTTGACTTTGAATTTTTATAATGACAAGAGTACTCTGTAGTTGTTTGTCTGCGCACATGCAGGTATTGTTACTTTCTTGTTGTCTGCTGCTCAAGATACACTGAAAAATTGCTTTTAAACAAAGATAGAAGAATGGAGACAAAGACTGATCAAATTCAAAACTGAATGTAGGTAGTTTTACCTAAACAACATAAAATTTGCTAGACTTCATCTACTGGAGAAATTGAAGTAGCAAATGAAAATTTGTTATCTTGCTACGCTGTGCTAATATGAGATTTTTTTCCAGATAATGACTGTAATCATTTAACTAGCATTTTCTATCTTCAGGCATTAAAATTAGGTGAGTTTGTTGATTCCCACTGTATGGAAGGAGAACCTGAGTTAGAACAGTTAAGACAAACTCATCTTTCTTAACTTCAGCTATCTGAAGTTGGATGTCCAACCTTCAAGAAATATCTGAGAGAGAGAGAGAGTGTGTTTTCGCATCTTATGTCTAATGCAAGCAGGAAAAATTGTTTCCTGGCAGGTAAGTCTCTCCCTAGAATGCAGAGTAAGCCTAGAAAGACATCCAATGATTGTGTTTGGGTGAGATCAACCCAGGCTGGAGATCATGCAAAAACCAGCAATAGGCTGGTTTTTATTAAGTCAGTTTTCCATTATGGGGCAAATGAAGGTGGGGATGGTGTGTCTCGGAGACACATCTTCCCACAGCTACGAACACTACACCTGCAGTGCAGAGGCATCCAAGCTCCATGCAGATCTGATAACAAGTGTTTCTGCCTTTCATTCTTGTGTTTTCCATTGCCACTGGAATTAGCAGGACCAACTCATGCTACATAACACAACTGAGCAGCTACTGGAACAGCAGTAGTCTTGTGCATTAAAACAGGTTTTGCAGAGAGCTTGCTTCTTTTACTAAACTCCAGCTAATAAAGCTGAAAAATGCACACATCAGGTGTGTGAAGCAATTGCAAGTTTTAGAACAGCCACTGCTTAAAACTTCAGGGACTAACTGACCACTTTCTTTTGTGCATGCAGGTTATGACTTTAATCCAGAAACTTCCAGTACCAGTGATTGCCAAAGTAAATGGCTTGGCTACAGCAGCAGGCTGTCAGCTTGTGGCAAGCTGTGACATTGCAGTGGCAAGTGAGAAATCTCAATTTGCTACTCCTGGAGTAAACATCGGACTGTTTTGCTCTACACCAGCTGTGGCCTTGGGCAGATCTCTTCCAAGAAAGGTAGGCTTCCTTCCCAGATACTCTTTGTAATTTTGCAAGAAGTAGTTCCCATGTTAGGAGTTTTAGTTCCGTTGCCTAAATTTTATTTTCCTGCAGTACAACATTCAAAATAACTTCATTGCAAAAGATATCTTTGTAACTCTTTGGACGGGGAAAAACAATAAAGGAATGAACTCTGTTTGGGGAAAGCAGCTTCCCACTGATGCAATTCCAACCAGCATGAACTCATACCAGCAGCATACCAGCTCAGCGATCCTTTTCCTTTCCAACAGACAGCTCTGTGCTTTAGACAATGATGTTCTCCCCTGATGAGGAAACCCCTGCAAGTTCAGGATATCAATCCCACTGAGGTATCAGTTCTTGCCAGGCAGTGACATTTCACGGCCAGCATGATCTGCCTGGGTGTAGATCAAGATGCTTTAAATAGCATCTAAAACCCTCCTATACTTTCTTCCTGCTTTATTTCCTACTGATTGTGACTACACATCTCTCACTGCATAAATAATAGTACGATCTGTAAAGCTTCCGTAACTGAGAAAAGAAATTTTAAGTTCTGATCCAGTTAGATGCATGCGGACAGACTGTCCAAGCCCAGCAGGGCTCTCCTGAGATGCGAGGACTTAAGTGCACAAGTCCAATTGCTGGATAAGACCTTCAGCTTTAAACTTCCCATCTGTAAGGCCATCCTGTTCAAATATAGCCTGTCTGTGTTTTTTTTTCAAGTGCGCTATAGTGTACAGTTACAACTGTTTCTGAATTAGTATTTCTGGGGTTTATGACTACCTTTTTAAAATGTGTGGGATATACTTTTCTCTGTGCCACTTTTCAAAGTAGCAAGAACATTCCCTACAGTTCTCAGGATTACTGATTTTACCTTTTATCAAATTAAATGTTGCCATTGTTTATAGCTACCAGAGCAAAGATTCTAATGAGGATAATCAGCTTTTATGATTCAGGGCATTGGTCAATTGCATCGGGGTCATAGAAGAAAAATCTTATTGATTTATAACATTGAATAGTCACTGAGTGTGCGATTTTTAAATTTGAAACCTCAAGTACAAGATGCTTGAAGCAGCAGGAGACTGAAATAGATGCGGCTATAAGAGGGACATATTTAAAAACACCCCGACCAAACTTAAACTAAGGCAGGTATTTTCAAAAACTACACATTGACGTAGTAAGACTTTTATTTGTCATTATGTGCCCAGCTTAAAACACCAAGTTCAGTCATTTGACATTGTGGACCATCCACATCTCAAAAACTAGAGATTCTGGGCTTTTGAAAAGAAACCCAGAGGTGTCAGCCTAGGACGCTGCAGTCAGTGGGCAGGTTTGAAAAAAGGCCAGCTTTAGACCTAGTCCTTCTCTTTGCTGAGACCTCTTAACACTTCCTTGGCAGTTTAAGAGGCCAAAAGGCTTAAATCTTACATTTGCCAAAAGAGTAAATTGTACTTGAAGGAGGAAGCTGAAATTCCCCAAACAAACCAAAGCAATAAGGCAGTTAAATTGACTTAATACAGTATTTTTTCTTGTTCAGGTGGCATTAGAGATGCTTTTCACGGGTGAACCTCTTTCTGCCCAAGAAGCATTAATGCACGGGCTTGTCAGCAAGGTGGTACCAGAAGACAAGCTGGAAGAAGAGACCATGAAAATCTCTCAGAAGATATGCGAAAGCAGCAAATCCATCCTGGCATTGGGGAAAGCCACCTTTTACAGACAGATGACACAGGACCTTGATACTGCTTACAAAACCACTACTCAGGTTATGGTAGACAATTTGACTTTGAGAGATGGGCAGGAAGGTATTGAAGCCTTTATTCAGAAACGTAAGCCTGTCTGGTCACACTCTCGGGATGAGAAGTAGTGAATCTTGTTTCTAAGCTAATCTTAGTTGTGTTTTATGATTCTTCACGCAGCTGCCTTTGAGAACTGTATTTTTGTTCTTGCTGAAAGTTAAATTTCTCTTCTTAAATAATGCCAAAGACACAATAAATTTATTCTAAATATATAATAAATGTTAAGAAAAATCAAACCAAATGGTTTTTTTCAGCAGTGAATTTAATTTATGGTTTTAGAAGGAACTCTGTGCTGCAAAAATTGGTTTAATATGTCCCAGGTTACTTAGGGAATCACAAGGACTGGGAGAGAGCTCAGATCACCCTGTTCAGTACCTGTCCCTGTAGTTCTGGATGAGAATTTCCATTTATTGTTATTAATAGAGAATTAAAGGGCTTGGACACGTTCCAGAGATGATGGTAGTACATACCATAATGGATTCCAATACTGTTTATATGTTACAGACAAAAGCCTGTAACAGTAGTCCATTGCTCCTTATGAATATATCTGCATATGAACTGTACGTATTACTAGTTTGTCTCCCTCAGCAAATCCTGTTTTTCCACCATCCGTTCAAGCACTTGTCCCAGCGCTAGAGAATTTTGCTGTTGACTCCAGTGAGGCTGAGCATGGCTTGGGGGTGTTTAGTTTCACAAAGGGCACACTGCGAAAGCCACTGCCTGTGGGCTTCAGCAGAGATCCTCACCTGGCAGTGTTTTGACCCAGCTGTAATTTTCAGGCTGTATGTCTTCAGTTTATCACAGAATCTTAGATGCATTAGTTGGAAAGTCTATCCCTGTGCTCAAAGCTGGGCTTTTACCAACACTGGAGCAGTTCAGCCACGGATTTACGGTCTTGACAATCTCCAACAACAGGGATTCAGATGCTCCTCTGGGTAATCTCTTACAGCACTGTGCAATCCTCCTGGTGAAATATTTTTTCTTAATGTTGAGTCTGAGCCTCAAAGCAGCATTTTTTTGGCCATTTCCCCTTGTTACATTATCTGACATTATTGAGAAAACTTCAGCTCCGTTATCTTTGTAACTCTCTTCAAGCAGTTACAGGCTGCAGTTAGACTACACTTAGACTCCTCTGTGCCAGACTGAACAAGTCCAGCTTCCTCCACTCTCCTTGTAGGTCATGTTCTCTAGATAACCAGCTTGGTAGCCCTCCAGTGGACCAATTCCAGTTTCTTCATATCCCTTTTGTACTGGTTGTGCCAAAACTGGACTGTATTCCAAATATGGCCTCACCAGTGCCGAGCAGAGGAGAACAAAATATTCTCTCCATCTGCTGGCCACTTTCAGCCAGTCAGTATTGCTCAGTATGCATTTTGTCTCGTTCGTGATGAGAGTGCACTGTTGGCTGATATTCAGTTGGGCATCCACCGTAAGCCCGGTTTCAGCAACTGCCCGTCAGCTCATAGCCTGCACTGGTGCTTGGGGTTATTCTTCCCCAGGTGCAGAACCTTGCATTTCTCCTTAGATTATTGTTCTTCTGGATTGAAGCCAGGCCATTTGGTGTGTCAGCCATTCCCCCAATTTCGCATCATCTGCAGATTTGCTGAGGATGTATTATTGATGACAATACTGGATGATAGGAGCCTCAGTATCAATCCATGGAGATCAACATGGGATGGCCTCTCAGCAAAGACTTTTTTCTGAAGTTCCACATAGCCAATTCATGAAGGTTCATCCATTTCATCCTTAAATAGGCATCTAAGAAAGACCAGGTGAATCACTATATGGATGGGCATTTTTTTCTTTGTTGACAGTAAAAGTAGCCTAAAGTGCGTAGCTCAGACTTAGATGTCTTAAGTTAGTTAGATCAAATGAATCCTATCTATAGCTACTAAAACTCCAAATGTAGAAGTATCACCAATCAAGAAGAATGTTTTTAAGGTATGTTTGCTCCTGTGTCCTTGGTTCCCTGTATGAGTGTTAGTTCATTCCTCAGTTCTCCTCTGGAGTGAATCAGATGATACCCAGTCAAGTCCTGGGACAGTTCTCTCCAGGGGTCGATTCCTCCTAGGCAGCATGGATGAGTCCACGTGAGCTTTGGCTCGGTCTGCCCTTCACAGTGCCCTGATGCTATCCCCATGGGCCTTGCCTAACACTCCTGAGCATCCTCAGCGTCATGCTAAAAACCACCCTGCTGGCAGGCCTTGCCTGTTATTTCAGGCACTTTGAACTGAAAAACTGCTGCAATGAAAAGTCAGCACTTCTGTCTTTGGGCCACAAAGGTGCTATATGGAGGTAGAGGAGGCCCAGTGCTATGCAATGTGGTTGCTGCAGGTCTCCTTCAGAATGACCTAAACATGAGGGCCACCTTGCAAAGGTCGTTGTTGGTAGCGTCAGCCTTGTTGTTGTCCTCCTGTTACGAGGAGTGGTCTCATGGTTCAGTCAGTCCACCTCCCGCATAGTAGCCATGGGCTGTACTCCAGCAGGTGCACTGCTGGGATCGAGGGGTGGAATGACACTTTGCTTCCTGAGTAGCAGAATTAAATTCTGTTATTCCTTATACTGGAGCAAGATCTGGATAGTTTGGAGCAAAAATCAGCCTCTTTTCTTTCTAACTGGCCTACGCATTTTCATTCAAACCAGTGATATAAATACTCGTATCATTTATACGTGTACAGCCCCAAAAAGCAATTCTTTTTGTCATCTACAATGCATACTCAGGATGAAGAGAAAGCAATTTCCAGTTCTGCTGCTCTTTTTAATTTGAGGAATGGAAACTTAAACTTGAATTCACCATTAAAAATAGTTTGTTTCTACAGGAATGTGAAAAATGTGGATCATTGGTAATAGTTGTTTTAAAAATATAAATTTGTATTGTTATCACTAGGAAAGATGGGTAAGTTTTATATAAACTCACATACTTTATATAGGTTAGGAACTGTTATGAGCAGTTAAGAGACAGAAGGGTTAAATCTGGAGCCAAATAACCTTCATTGTGTCCTTTTTAATGCAGTAAGATGCTGCACTTAGACTCTGTTCCCACATGCTGCTCTAAAAGCATTAAGAAAGAGTAAATTGTTTTTAAAAATATTTATATTTAATGGCTATCTTGCAACTACTCAGCAAATCTCTACTGGCTCTTTTGTTCCAGGGTTTTAGAAATAAGTACATTATCTGATTTTTGCAGAATAGTGCTCTTTCCAACTAACTGCAGTAATAAAATGGTTTCACTGGCCATCTTGAACCATGAGTGATAGTTTAGATGAGTGCATTCTTTCAGATATTTAGAAATTCTCCTTCTGCAATTGATTGCCATCTACGCAAGACGGGGTTTGGCATTATTATTGTTAACTCCTCGTTATAATTTTTGAAGAAAAAAAATCTGCATTTTTGAAGAATAATTACTTCATTTGAAATAGTTATACTGCAATGGAATCAAATTCTGGTCATTTTATTCCTGCACATGGATTCATTGAATTTGAATGGCCTCGTAAGACACTAATATTACAGAGACAGATAGGTACCCTTAGCATTATTCACTGTGAGCAGACTGACATTAATGGAAGTGCTATGTAAAGTTAAGAACAGGCATACTTTAGCAAGACAAAATGGTGATGGGAGGGGAAATTAACTATCAAAAATGGTGTTCTGGTTGTTTATAGGAGTGTTACCTTATCCTTGGCTTTATCTGTAAAAGACCAAACACCACAATGCCTCGAGCTCCTTCACAGTTCAAATTCGTGGAAGTTGAGCAAGGACAGCGCTCTGGACGACTGAGTTCAGATCCTTAAGAACATCGCTTTTCTAGGCTCGTGGTCTTTTTCAGTCTAATTCACAGGTACGACAAATGTCTGTGTTGTACTTTTAGATCTTGAAGAGAAAAAATATTTATGTTTTAACTCAATTTTCACAGTATCTGTTTGTACTATTTCATGCAATAAAGTAATTATGTAATTAGTAATCATCAGTTCAAAAAATGCTGGCATCCACAGGAACATTTCCCTCTTGCTTGAACCACTAGACTGAAAAGCTTCAGAAGGTTTGTCCTGGTTCTGGCTGGGACAGAGTTAACTTTCTTCCCAGTAGCTGGGGGAGGGCAGGTGCTGTGTTTTAGGTTTGGTATGAGAGGAGCGTTGATGGCCCATTGATGCTTTGGTTGTTGCTGGGTGGTGCTTGCACCGGGGACTTTTCGGCCTTCTGTGCTCTGCCAAGTACAGGGGAGGCTGGGGGGGTGGGGAGCATAGCCAGGGCGGTTGACCCAGCTGGCCAATGGGCTATTCTATACCATGTGATGTCATGCTCAATATAAAAACTAGGGGGGGGGGGGCTCGCA